TCTTTTCTGCCGTCGCCACTTCTCTTCACTCTTTTCTCCGCCACTTTTCTCGGCCGAACAAACGTGATCCATTGTCCAGGATCTTCCTGTGTTCGTCTTTGGGGCAAGCTAGTCAGAAGTTAATCAGATGTTAAATTAGTTTTTTAAAAAAACATCGTTCGCGCGGAAAATTAGATATTTGTGTGGAAAAGGAATGATGCGAAAGTTCGGAAATTGGTATAAATGGCTGTTCTTTTTGGAGTAGAATCGAACTGAGATTTCTCTCGTAAATGGGGAAAACTCGAATGCCTTAATTTCTTCCAATTAAAGGGTATAGTTAAAGTAATTGGAGGATCGTTTATACGAACGACTTGATCGTCCATTCGGATGGCTAATGCATTAAAATCTCGTTCGTGCATTACTCGAATGCCCTGTTATTCTAGAATACTTATCCTTCTGTAGTTTTCTGGGACACATTATGGAAACAGGACACGAAACAATTCATAAATTGGAAAGTACATTTTCCGTGGGATAAAATTCTATTCATTCCTCCAGCTTATTCACGTAATTCTCTAATTATCTAGTTTCAGCGGATCATTATTGTTCTTACGATACTTTCGCGTATCAGTGAAAATACAAATTTATTCCGTACCATCTGATTACGAGACCGTTGAGTAATACGGCCATTATTAGTACTCGTTTCGCTGTTACTAGATTTTATTTTTAAACCGTGCACGAGCTATCGTATTTCCTGGCTGGGAGCGTAGCGTTTTTCCGCGTGAAAATCCGAAGATTAAATTTCACCGGGATGCCCGGAGTTTGCGTAGAGAGACGGATATATATATATTTGTAACCCAAAACGGATAAAATGTTTATTTAGATAAAAATGTCGAACGACGTATGAAATTCGATTGTAGAATGAATCGTTTCCCTTTATAATCTACCTGTTGCCCCAAGGTGTAATTCTCGCTCTTATTATTCGCGCGATGAAAGGTATAAATTTATCTCGAATTTTAAATCATTCATCGTTAGAAGCGCGTGTTCTCTCGGAATATTAATATTTATAAATAGCGGTGGGTTATTGAATGAAAATAATTTTATCGTGCTTGCCGCGTACGCACAGTTAGTTTAGCTCAACCGCGAACGCTTTGCCATGAATATGATGGAAGTAACGTGTGTTACACGGCCCGTGATTCGAGTGTATTCAGTTTCATCCGCGTACATGCGCGAGTGCCTTTGAATATTTCCTATATTCACGCACGTTCCTGCTGATGTGCGTTGGAGTGCGTCAATTCATATTTCGCGTGGCAGGTCTATGAATAACAAGAACGATGAGATTTCGTCGTAAAATACCCCCAGTTATCGGCTTTTCTTTCCCCCGCCCGAAGAAAATATATCTGTTCGACGTTACGTTCCCCTCGATACTTTTCCTTTCTCTCTTTCAGAATTGTTCTTGTAAGTGACTATTTTTCTCTTTTCGCGCCGGACGCCTCTTTGCAGGAATTCCCACGAAAGAAAATGCGGTTTTATATCTATATTAAAATTTTTATTCGAAACTCTCGCCTGGGAGAATAATTATTGCTTCCTAAGCTTTCGATTTCTGTCCGTAAGTTACGAAATAAAATGCTCGTGGGTGTGAAACGTTAGGGAAACAATGACGTAAATTTGAACATGGTCGCTTCATGAATAACGAAAACCGTCGGGATTCCATCGCGAAGCAACCGTATTATCGTCTTCATCCCTCCGCCGGGGCGTACTTGTTGAATGAACCATCTTCCCGATTCTTTTCAAGATCAGCCACTTCGTACCGCCCGGCAGTCGTCTCGGTCTATTTTCAGAAATTATCCCCCGGTGGAATTGGAGAAGCCTTCCCCATCGTCTTTATCCGAACGAGATGAGAAAAAGGGGTGGTCGATGGCTGGTAGGGGCGGCGGGAGTGATAGGCCACCTTTCTCCCATCACGTTGCGCCCGCCGCAAGACGTTTTTCATTGTTCTCGACGTACAAAGTAAGAAATACGGAGGAAATTACCTGTCTGCTGTCTTTACTCTATTGTTATTTCGCGGTGCTCTTATTTATCGTCGTGATCGAGTTCCGGGATACGGCCGTTTGATGCCCGTGGAAATGCTCGAACCCATCCAAGGGGAACGCGGATGATACGTAATCGACGCTATGTACGACTCCAAGACGTTATACTTCATTGTGCTAATGAAATTTGAATGGAGTATGGGAATCGAAACGAAACAAATCTCGTACTTCCGTGAGACGGGGATATTAGAATCTTACGATCGTACGAAGAAAGGAACTTTTCGTGCATACCGATTGGTCGAGGAAAGTTCATGTTGAAAGTAAATTATTATTTTTGCTTTTCTTTGTTCGAGCTTATATAAATGGTTCGATAACTACAGATTGGAATTAGATACACTGTACAGGTAGTTCAAATAGAAGAATTTTAAACCGTATAATACTTGCAAACGTAGACAATTAGTGTCCAGTTAACACAGGTACGCAAACCAAACTGTTAGAGTAATTTGCAACGTTCGGTTTCTGTGAACAGAGTTTTCTTTATCCACGAAATATCTACAATTCGATGGATAACAAATAAGTCCAATGAAAATAAATTTATTCGTAAGACACGACGGATTCAGAGTGGACTTTGAAACGTATTTAAACTCGAGGTGCCGAATTCATTTTTTTCCTAGATCGTCCCGCATAAATGGCCACACGGATCAGTCACATAAATATTTAATAGCGGAAGGTTCGAATTGGATACTGTATACACAGACGCGGGGGCCAGTAAATTTCCCTTTCGCGTAATAGCACCCAGCGGAATCGTAGGCGTTCGCACGTACGCAACGGGCGCACAAATCGATTCAAGTTTCAATAAATTTCGATTAGAATTGGCCCCGCGGAGAAACAGAGGGACGACGGGACGAGAACAGGGGGCTGGAAAACCGATGGAAATGAGGGGATGGTGATTCATTTCGATCATACCGTCGAGTAGCTGGAAACCCGTGGTTTCTCCCTTTCTTTCTCGCGCCGTGATAACGAGCCGCATAAAGTCGTTTTATCTTTCGCCGTCCCAGCGACGGAAATCTTCCCTTCATTGTTACGATCACTCGTTTCCGAGTTAGGGAATGAAATATTCCAGGCCGGGATGCCATTCATCAAAACAACCGCTCGACACTGGGAGCCACGATGGAACAGCGAAAATTTCTTCCGACCGATAGACAAATAGCAAAATTAAACGTTTATTCCTCGACGTTACATTTTTATAGTTTTTAGATATTCGAAAGAAGCAACTCTGATTATCGCTAGTTCGATTTCGATCGACGCGTTTCAACGACGAAATAAAAAACGACAGGCGTTTCAACCGACCCGAAAATTCATTTTGCTGCACTTTTCGGTCGGCAATTTAACGAAACGTATCCCGATTAGCGACATTCCGGCCGCGAAGCTCAGTTAATCTTTCGTTAACGAGCAGAAACTGCACGCGGTTTGTATCAGCGGAACACTGTTGGGACCCATTAATTAAATGAAGAAAAATAGACGCGCGTGTGTTTGGGAACGAACCGATAACCGCGGTGAAATGTGTATTGTCTACCAAAACATACCAAATTAGACGTAGATGGTTTATGAAATAGATAATTTTAAATATCCATTTTGTTTCTACATTTTCTCCAAGTATATTCTCTTGAGAATATATTAAAATATTTTACATTTATTTTAAGTACGTTAATTATTATAAATATTAGATCGATATTCACGACAACGACGAGGTTTCTTGAATCGAGTACAATGAACTCGTGCCTAACGTGTTCTTTACGCGCTTATCATGTAGGTTGACACGCACCTAGCTTATCGCATTATTCATACAACGCTTTAACTCTCTTTTGAATCCACCATACGGAATAAATTTACATAATTCGAGGAAAATTAAAAGTAAACTAGTTCTCGTTCGAATTTTAGAAAATGCGAGGTAGAAGGAAACGATTTTTCGAAATTGCCGAACTCTCGAACCCTTTAAATCGAAAGCTTACGGAACGTCAGTATCCCAAACGATTTTAAAAAGTTCGTTCCGCGGCACGGAGACTTGGACCGGTTGAATCGCGAAGTTCAGTTAACGCGTTACAATTTCTTTGCCAGAAAAATTTCCAAAGCTTCCTTTACGCCCGCTGGCTCGGCGTCGCTCGAAACTCAGCGACAGAAAAATAATTTCCAGGGGAAAGCTGTTTGGTATTCCGCGCCGAAGCCCGTGGAACTTTCCCATTTTTTTCTGTTGTGGTCCACGGAGACCGTAGGCGTTCCCCGTCCAGAAAACTTATCGCGAGCGAAATCGTTTCGAGATCGTACAGTTCTCCGGAGACCAAGGAGCGCGTTTCGCGCTCGCCTCTTTTCGAACTATCGAGATTCCTTTTATTCCGTCGCGACGAGGCGCGTTCGACGCTCCTTTTTAAGCTCCGTCCCGACCCTTCTCGCAGGGCAAACGTCATTAAATTAAAATCCACTTTCAATCGACTGAGATTTAATCAATCGATGCTCTGGTTTTTAAAAAAACATTGATCACAGGACAGGTTTGTTCTCATCTGCAGTATTTTTTCCAGCGATGAATATTCTCCAAGTTTCTCCGTTATTGAGTACAGAATCATCCGAACGAACTCATTACTCAGCCCGCCATTGTATCTCGCAGCTTTCGCGCCAGGTTTGAGCCCGTAGAAGAGAATGCCTCCTTCGAAATTACATCTTGTTTCGTTTGAAAGGATGTTTATAGTTGAGTCTGCGTTTGATCCGACTGCTGACCCCGTGGTAGTTGTTCTTTGCGCCCCTGCATGGCCCCTTTCCGACGCGTGTCATCGCATGACAGCATGATTACTCCCGAGGAATTTGTATCCTCGACGCGTCGAGCGACCCGGAGCCTTTGCCGAAGCATGAAGCTCTCTAGAAAGCAAACAAAACTAAAAAAAAAATACGAAATTCCGTGGGGATTCCTCGGTCTAATTTTCTGGGCACTCATTGTTGCAGGCACACACGCCCCTTCTTGCGGCTGACACGAGACACGTAAGTAGAAAGACGTCGGACGCGAACGAGCGTGCACTCTTGCCTAAATTAAAACGGCTTTGACGGTCGAAAACGGTTGGCTTTTCCCCGTGCACCGTCGCTTTTCTCTTTTCCGTTTTATTTTGTTACATCCTATTTTTCAAGCGCACGTTGCGCCGCGCGTGTTCCGCTCCGCCGGAAAAAAATATTCGTTCCATTTGACGCGTTTTCCCCGTCGCGTTGTTCGCTAACGGTTCGAACAAATTCACGATTAAATATCGCTGGCAATCTCCAGCACGGAGACCAGGCGACACCCGTGCCATTAATTCCACAATTAGCCGCGTTACACGCTGCACTCTAATTTCTGCAAATTGCCCTTTTCCCCGGGCCCAATACGTAAATACAAATAGGCGTTATATTTCAGTCTTTCGCCGCTCCATTCTCAGACGATTTCTCTTCTTAAAATTACTAATTCTGTAAAGAATTGTTCGATAAGCAAAGTGTACCAATTGTAGACACATTTTTTAATTAAAGTTGTCCTCTTTTATTGATTTAACGTCACTTTCATTGCTTACGATTCGACCTAATATTTTATTGAACCGTGTTTGCACTATGTACCCATTGATAGTAATTAAAATGTTATCGCGATATCGATGATCAATGTCTGCATTGACGCAAAAGCAGCATTATCGTATCGATTTCGATCATTATCGCGGCTCGCTTAACACGCTGCCGGCAGCATTCATCCGTTTCAGACAAAATTTGTATATAACAGGCATTAGAGGTATTCGTCGGATTCTTAGAAGCTCGGACGATCATTAAGGGTTTTAATTGATTCGGGAACTCGGTTCGATACGCCGCCGCTTTGAGTTTACCGTGGCATAATTAGAGTTTCCGCGTAGTCGAAGCATCGTCTTGCGAATTGCGCGTTCACGTGCAAGAAGACACGGCGGATAATTATTTGCACTCGAGACATTAGCGTTAATGATCGTCGTGCGTAGCGTTTTGAGCCGCAGACAAACGACTTCGTACGGTGTGTGCTCTTCTCCTAATGAGTTATTGATCCTCAGACTGTCGCGATTGTTGTCGCGACGCGTTTTGCGCCATTTCAGTGAAAATCGAAAGAAATCTTGGAGGAATTGCGAGACGAGAGATCGCGCGAGCGCGGCGAACGTTTCGCGGGGATTTGCAAAATTAATTTCGTCGACTATGTAAGCAGCAGTAGAGAACCGCGCGGCGGAAGAAAATGCAACAAAAGGGAAATTTAAATTTGTCGGGTTTCGGGTGAAAACCGGGACGCAAACAGAGTTGCTTGCGCAAGAAACGATATAGGAATGCAAGCCGTGTTCTTCGCGTTACGCGGTAACGCGTTAGTAGTTTCCATATTTCACCTGTGAATTAAAAACTAAAGTGAATTTCCCCCTGAACCCATTTCTGCCTTGCGACCGATACATAGCCCGCCTTCAGAAAATATTCATAGAGAGTTCTTTTTCATAGGGAACGACTCGCTGCCGCGTTTCTGCATTCAAGTTTTAAAGCAATTAGTATTGTTTACGTCTATCAAATTTATACAAAGGACTTTTACATCGTACTTCGAAATAAATTAAATTCAGCATAATAAAAATGTTCTCGGTAGGGAAAAGGAACCCTTATTAACGCGTCCTTTTTTCTTCTTTTTTTGGGGGTAATTTTGTCCTTATCGTAGCGTTACTTATTCGCAAGTATCCCGGTTCATCGCCTCAAATGGGCTTCGTTATGTTCGGATCATTCAAACGCCGAGCTAACACTCCCTTTTCACGGAACTCGACAGCCACCCTTCTTCTCCCCCGCCCCTGCTTGAGCGGAAAGATTCATGGCGGGCTTCATTCGATTTGCAGGATCGTTTGAAATTCAACGAAGATGGTACATACTTTACCCGTAGATTGTAGCGGGTGAAATGAGGGAAAGGGGGATTAAAGAGGTTCGAGGGCAACGCGAGTGAATACCGAACTTGCCAAATCGAGTAAACTCGGCTCCCCGGGTCTTGTAACTTTCTGGGATAACCCCGACCGTCGACGATTATCTTTCTCGTTCCCAGACCTCGTTCCCGTCTCGGGGACTACGGTCATTCATCCTCTTTTTCACCCCCTTTTAGCGTGCTTTAGATCCCGGGGAAATTGGATCAATCCGAAAGAAAATCCGAGTTCAGTTTATTAATCGTTCTTGGTAATTAGCTGCCAGATTCGCATATATTAAGATGTTAAAAACATATTTTTTAACCCTTTATGACCGAGAGAGTTAAGGGTTGCTTTGGTCACTTTGCTCTCCACGATTCTCTTTCTAATTTGATTGCCCGACCAGCGCGTTCGAGTTTTCGATTCGGATCGATAGCGGGTAATGGTCGTCAGCTTTTTCTGTCGGCAAATGTACTAGATTTCGCTTATTGGTGGTCCAGCAATGGCGCGCGTTAGAGTCCAGGGGCGGTAAGAGGTTATTGGGGAACCGCGCGCAGTGGTTACCACGTGGTCGCCGCTCTTCATGTCACTTCCTGCGCTTCCAGCCCCTAGAATTGCATTATGGTCGACCGGCATTATAACGGGACGCGTCGTATAAATCACATAGAATGACGTGAGCGCGTCGGTGTCTGTGCGCGTCCCTCGGCGTCCACGCAAATTACCGAGATTAGTTGCTAACGACGGATCACGAATTGGCTTGCTGGACCCGCTAAGGGTACCTATCGGCCCTTTGCACACAGTTAAATTGAAGGAAACGAATGTCACTCCGCTTCTCCCTCTATATTTAATATCACATCATTTCGACAGACCTAGCAGTCGTAGATTTGTCCGATCTTTGGTACCGATAGATCATAGTCGAGAGAAATATTCGTTTCTTCGTTAGAAATTAGAGCAAAAGAACTCGTAGTTTGAATCATCTTCGTACATTAAACGCGACAGAAATTTTATAACAGCAATTTCGTTCCTTCGTCGGTAATCTGTACGAGCTGGATCGAAATTGCAACTATTAAGATCCTTTCTTCCAAAAATGAAAGCCATCGTTGCAACGAGCACTTTGCAGCGAGGATTTATCATTGTCTCGGTACTTTGGGCTTTAAAGCTGTAACAAAGTAAGATTCTTTGGTAACTAATCACCGCTCTTAGTTAATTGGTCGAGCACTTAAGCGAACGCTAAAATTTGATATTGTCATTTAAAGGTAAACAGAACGAAATGCTGCAGCCTGTTGTATATCGACATGGATAGAAGATAAATCTTTATCGTTGGTAATATTCCCCGGATGCAACTCGTTTTATTAATACGCGGCCTGTTATTTCTTATTTTTGCGCGCTGAGTACGTGGTTACGGTTACAGGACACACGGAATGAATATTAATAGTCCACAGCGTAGGTATTACGAATAATTACGTTTTTCCGTCCATTGGAATGTACGTCGCCGCGCGCAACATTCTCGTCCGAAGAGAAAATATCGGAACAATAAATATAGTACGTTTCTCTCTAGCCTCTTGCTCAGACTGTTAATAACAATATCGTTATTTTCAATTCTGTTATCGCGCGGCATGCAATATCAATTAACAACGACAAAATAATTTGATTTCTCTGCATAAACAAACAGACACGATGTTTATGCGCGCGGATGTATTTATAAAAGTCATTATCGTAAATATGATTGCACGAGCTGTTTCCAAATTATTAACGAACAACTTGCCGCGCCGTGTAGCGTGAAATAATGATAACAAATTTAGCGTTTGAAATTGTTGAACAATAGTCGCTATCGACAGACGCGCGTTATTGCAATTTTGATTTGCATTTATTTTGTCACAGTGCTCTTTTAAACTGGCTAAATAATTAATCAAAGATCGAATGTATCTAATACGTTTTGCTTGAACCTGTTCGTCCGTTACTCGAGTTTTCGTGGCGCAATCTAATTACGAAATTGACGATTAATAGGAGACATTACGTAGGCCAATCGATCGGAAATATTTGCATTAGAATTAGACCGCCCGCAGCTTAAACCTCATGTGCACGAGCAAATAGCTGCCTCCCCGCAAGTACAACAACTTTGGCTAGCAAATAGCGCATCCCTGCATCTCGATGCACCGGGAACGTTGCACTTTACTTGACGGTTTCGGATACTCCAAGAGAAATTTCAAATCTGCAATAGTTGTAAATTGCGGACGGTATAATACGATGAAAAATAAAACACTTGTGCCTGTTGTATCAGTTTCCGATTAATTCCCACTCGATAAGAGGACGTTGACAAATTTGTTTTTCGCTCGATTAATACGCTTAATCCTGCCGAATCGCGTTCGACTAATCGAGTAGGAATTCTTCGACCAATCAGAGTGGTTCTATTTTGTGGATTTTGGATGGGAGCACGCGATAAATCATTTATTGGTTTTCATGCTCGAAGATTGATAGATGTATGCGTATCGATCATTTGAATATTAATTAACAGCATGGATAAGTCTAAGCGTTAATCATTTCGGTTGATAATTGGGACACATTGAAAACAAGCGTTTAATTTATGTTTGGTCGCTAAAATTATTAGTTAAGGCTTGGTACGAATGAATTGGTATCTTTTCCAGAAAAGTGCAGAGACGTTGGAGAATAGTTCGAAGCGTAAACGAGTCTAAATGGCACGTGAAAATGCACGCAGTTTGTTTAGCTCCGTTTCGTAGTCCCCTCCCCCACTGTGGCTCAGTCATTCGGACTTTTAAAAAGCACCTAACAATTCCGGCCAATTTATCTTCGCGGACTCGCCCGGAAGACTAGGAAGACCTGTACGTACGGGTCATTCGAACGAAAGATAAAGTCTAAGGAGACTTTGTTCCGCGTCACTTCGCCTTTTAAAGTTCTCGGTGGAATTTTTGTTCCCGTGAAAAATGAGACGATCCTCGCAACTTCCCCCGCTCTGCTCTATGACCGTTCATTTCCATTTTATTTGCCACGCTCGAGTGTAACGGCGTGATTGATTTACGTGAGGGGGCTTCAGGGTTCGTTTGTTCCAAGTTTAACGATATCAACTTT